TACTTCTGCGACCATCGAAGGAGATTATATATACATATATATATATATATATAGTTTCCGAGAGAAACAATTGTTACGCTTCCGAATAACTCCTCTATTTACAAAAAAAAGATATATATATATTTTTTATATTATAATATTATTTATATTATTTATTTATTATTATATATTACTATTATTTATTTATTTATTATAATATTTATTTATATTATTTTTATATTATAATATATATAATATTATAATATAAAAATAATACATAATAAATAAATAATATATAATTAATAATATAATAATAATATAATAATATATAATATAATATAATAATATAATAATAAATAATATATAATTTATTTATATTATTTTTATATTATATATATATAATAATCGCATATAAATATTATATAAATATTATAATAAATAAATAAATAATAATAATATATAATAAATAAATAATATAAATAATATTATAATATAAAAAATAAATATATGTATATATATATATTTTTTTGTAAATAGAGGAGTTATTCGGAAGCGTAAAAGTTGTTTCTTTCGGAAACTAGAGAGAGGAAATTAAGCCGCGGAAGAACGACCGCAGAGCTGCGCAAACAGCTAACAGGATCGGGTTAATGCCGTTGCGTTTGGAAACGCAGCCAAGTTACGGACGGAATCGTTTTAGTTCCAATGAGTGAACTTCCGCGCGGTTTCGTTCGCCACGCTCGCGTCGGAAGCGAGAAACGGTCAAGAGGACGTTGAGACATCGATCGTACCCGGATAGCGGTATCGAGCGAGCTTATCGCGGAATCGGTGACATAGGTAGAAACCGGCCTCGCGTTCGATCGGCCAACCAAAAAACGGGTTGCGAGCTTTTTCCGCCAAATACGACGACGACGACGACGACGACGTCCCGACGCGATTCCGCCGTTATGAAATTCTTGCAGGAAAAACTCACGGAGACTCACGGTCGTGGACAAGTATTTTTAAAGACACTTTTAATTAATTAATTTAATTATTAAAACGGAATAACTTGTCCAAAATCGGTTCACACGGTTTGAATATTTTATATATCGAAATTGAACGAATCGACAAGAATAATCACATTTTTCAATTTTTCTATTTTTCTAATATTATAATATTTATAATAATATTATAATAATATTATAATACATATTATATACATATATTATATTATATTATATTATAAATATTATAATATTAGAAAAAGAGAAAAATTGAAAAATGTAATTATTTTTAT